GTCACAGCCCAGGGTGGTGGTGGGGACGGTCCGGAAAGCGGAAGCCTTGGTTCTCACGCTGTCTGTCCGCCCGTCGCTCTCCCCAGACTCGGTGGAGTGGGAGGGGCGCAGCCTCCTGAAGGCGCTCGTCCGGCAGGCCGCGCTGCGGTGAGTATCCGCGGCCCCCCGCCCCCCGGAAGCCGGCCCGGGCCCCTCTGACATCCGCCTCCTGTGGTCCTCAGGGGGGAGCGGGTCCACGTCCTGGGCTGTGAAGTGAGCGAGGAGGAGTTTCGGGAAGGCTTTGATCCCGGTACCAACAGCCGGTAAGTGCAGGTTGGAAGAGAGTCCGTTGGATGTGAATGTCCCTTAAAGCAGCAAGACTGGGGTCTGGCGTGGGAAGGGTTCCCGTCCGTGATGCTTGGGCTAAACAGCCGCGTCAGGCGGTGAGTAAAGAAAAGTGGAATTTATGTAGGAAAACGGGTTGGGGAATGGGGATGTCCAAAGGGAAGTGCGACACAGCACTAAGCCTAGGGTGTTGGGTCTCGGATGGCAGCAGAGCCACACTGAGGACAGTGAAACCAGGAAGGGCCTAGAACAGCGGTTCTCAACCTGTGGGTCGCGACCCCCATCGGAAAACACATATATAACTACATACTGTTTTTGTGATTAATCACTATGCTTTCATTATGTTAAATTTGTAACAATGAAATTGAGGGTCACCACAACGTGAGGAACTGTATTAAAAGGTCGCGGCATTAGGAAGGTTGAGAACCACTGGCCTAGAAGAAGCAACAGGAACGCCTGGGCTGGGCTGCTTGGCCCACTGAGAAGTCAGAGAAAAGGGGGCCTTGGAGACAGGGTCAGGGGGTTAGCCCCGGACGATTTGCCACTGCCCGTTGCTCCCCTGGTTGCAAGTCTGGTGGGGTCCCTTGGAGAAAAGAAGGGGGAAGGGAATGGCTCTGGCGTGTTCCCTTGGGGAAGAGGGGGTGCTGGGTCCTTTTTCCTGAGTGAATGTATCTCTTTCTTGCAGTTGGGAATCTTGGGGGAGGTCTTAGGGGAGGGTCTTAATAGAATATTCATCAGCTTTTCAGGTGTGTCCTTTCAGGCTTCTGGTCTCCACTGATTGGTCCGTGCCAGAGCAGGGTCATTAGTCAATGGTCCTGAGGCAGCCATGGGGGTCACTTGTCTGGTTTTGCTGCTTTTTGGGGCCTGGAGCTGCAATACAGCTGAGGCCTAGATGTTATCTTTAGGGAAAAAAGGTCAGGCATCCAAACTGATATGATAGAGGAGGACAGCTTATCCTGGAGGTGAGGTTCTTGTTCTCCCAGTTCTGCCCTTGCTAGGCATCTGGGGCTTTCTGTACCTGGCCCATCCTTCCTGTGTTATGACTGTCTAACGGTAGGTAGGAGCAGCTACTTATTGGTTGAATGAATAGATAGGGATCTTTCAGGAGGCTGAATGAGCAAGAGGAATGTTAAGGAGTGGTGAGTATGTGGAGAATCCACAGCAGAAATGATAGAATGTGAAAGAAGTAGAGGGTAAAAGCCAACAGACAAGTTTAGCACTAGAAGCTGTTCTGGAGAAGAAAAATAAACCTGTTCTGCCTTTTTGAGTTATTCAGAATCTGGATTCCAAACTTGCATCAACACTTAACTGCACACTACTGAGGGATTTGTCCTACAGGCAGAGGGAACAGCATATGCACAGTTAGAGATGTATGGGGAAGGCATACCTGTTCATGGATGATGGAAGAGCTTACTGAGGTCAGACAGAAAAAGATATCTGAGCCCTAGCCAGTTTGCTCAGTGGATAGAGCGTCGGCCTGCGGATTAAAGGGTCCCAGGTTCAATTCCAATCAAAGGGCTCAATCAGGGTGTATGCAGGAGGCAACCAATCGGTGTGTCTCTCTCACATTGATGTTTCTTTCTCTCTCTGTCTTTCCCCCTTCCTTCCACTGTCTCTAAAAATATCCTGGAGTGTGGATTAACAAAAAAAAAATACCTGATAGCCCTGGCCAGCATGGATCAGTGGTTAGAGCATTGGCCTGCAAACCCAGAGGTCGTGGGTTCTATTCCGGTCAAGGGCACAGACCTGGGTTGTACATTCCCCGACCCAGTTGGGGTGCATTTGGAAGGTAATCAATTGATGTGGCTTTCTCACATGGAGATTTTCCTCTTTCCCTCCTCCCTCTCTTCTGCTCTCTCTAAAATCAATGGAAAAAATATCTTCCAGTAAGGATTAACAACAACAACAACAAAAAGATGCCTGGTAGTGAAAGGTCTTACAGAGTCTGAAAAGGAATTTAGATGTTGTAAAGGAAGTGAGGAGTCATTTGAAAGTTTGGGAGGGTAGTATCATCATTCCTGTTAGATTCAGTGACCAGTGTTGAGAAGTGTTGGCAGGGGGCAGCCTGGAGATAGGGAAACCAGGTGGGAAAATTATTGCAGTAATCCAGGTTGGCTCAGGTGGGTATGTACTGAGCACCAGTTGTGAACCAGCTACCCACTGGAGATAGAGCAGTGAATGGGGCAGATAGGATCTCTATTCTTATGAACTTAGAGCATAATGGTGGGAGGTGACAGACCTGGCTTGAGGGAATGGCAGTAGGAATGGAGAGTTTAGGACAAATGTAAAAGGACTCGAGGCACTTATAGATGGACTTACAGATGTGGGGTAGAGGCAAGCTTCCAGGTCAGGAGGTCCCTGAACCCATTTATGTTGCCTGATTAAGAAAGGTTACTTCCTGGTCTAGGTAGCTCCATGAATTATAACCAAGTTTATATCTGTCTGTTGAGCCCTAATTTTGTACCAGTCATTGCAAGAGAGGTGATGCTATATGTTAAGATGTCATTTGAAAGGGAACAGAAGATAGAAAGGAGGTGTCTGGGAACAAGTTCTGCCACCATGAAGCTTTCCCAGGATTTTTAGCCCACACCAGTATCCCTTTCCTGAACTGCTGTTTTATCTGTGGTTCTTAATCATATGTAGGCCACATAACTGAATTTGTGACCTTTGCTAAGCTGTTCTACAGGCTGGAACCATGTCTCGTGTTCTTTCCTTTCTCCTTATCCATCCAGAGATAGGCACCACTCAAGACATATTTGACAGTGATGACAGCTCACATTTATCAAGTATTTAGTATGCTTCAAGCACTGTCCCAAATATCAAGAGGTTTGTATTCCTGTTTTACAAATGAAGAAACCAAGTCTTAGATTAAGTAATTTATCCTTTAGGTGACCTTGGGCAGTTAGCAAACCCAGGCTTCGAGTTCAGGGCTGTCTGATGCCAAAGTCTGTTTACTCAATCACTATATTCTATTTCTTAGTTACTACCTTTCACTGGTATATAAGATATTGGTAAAAATTGAGAAAATAGTGCCACAAAGATCAGAGGATGAATTTCAGGAGTGGGGGAGGGGTAGTATTATGTTGTCTGCTATTTTCTCTTTGTAGGCTGGTTTACCATGACCTCTTCAGAGACCCTCTCAACTGGTCAAACACTGGAGAAGCCCTTCCTGGGGGGCCCCTGGGAGTCTTGAGAGCAATGTGCAGGAGAACAGGTCCTGGTCCTGTCACCATTGCTCTTGATTCTCTTAGCTGGCTGCTGCTTCACCTGCCCTGCACCACACTCTGCCAAACCCTGCATGCTCTGAGCCGTCAGGACTCCTGCCCTGGTGAGACCCTCCTTCATTACTTCCCCCCATATATGTCCCTCTGCCAAGGAACATAACCCTTTCTACCCTAAGAAACAACATATCAGGGATCTCCAAGTGGATCTTTTTTCATCTCTTTTTTTAAATTTATTACTTTAACCATTTTTTTAAAAATATGTTTTTATAGATTTTAGAAAGGAAGGGAGGGGAAGTCAGAGAAGAAGAAACATTGATATGCTGCCTCCAACATGCCCTCTACTAGGGATTGAGCCCGCAACCCGAGCATGTGTCTTGACCAGGAATCGAACTGGAGGTCTTTTGGTACATGGGTCAATGCTCAACCAACAGCCACACAAGCTAGGGCCTTTTTTCATTTTTTTTTTTAAGTATATTTTTATTTCAGAGGGGAAGGGAGAGGGAGAATGAGAGAGATAGAAACACCAATGATGAGAGAATCATTGATTGGCTGCCTCCTGCACACCCCCCACTGGGGATCAAGCTCACAACCTGGGAATCAAACCATGACCTCCTGGTTCATAGGCTGATACTCAACCACTGAGCCATGCTGGCCGGGCCTTTTTTTCATCTCTTTAACCTTTATACTAGTTCTTGACTTCTCTGTAATGCCACCTACCAATCACTTTTCCAAGTTCTTTTTTATTCATCTATTTTATTCATTCAGCAAACATTAAATACATAGAGCATGTTAGATATTATTTTAGATAATAGAAAGATAAAGACTTTATTATAGTCAGGTTCTTGTCTTCCAGGAGCTCAAAGTTCATCAAGGATACAGACAAGTAAACAGGTAGTTAACAAGATAATCTGATAAGAGCCATGATGATTGCCCTGACCAGTTTGGCTCAGTGGATAGAGCGTCGGCCTGCGGACTGAAGGGTCCCGGGTTCCCGGTCAAGGGCATGTACCTTGGTTGCGGGCACATCCCCAGTAGGAGGTGTGCAGGAGGCGGCTCATCGATGTTTCTCTCTCATCGATGTTTCTAACTCTCTATCCCTCTCCCTTCCTCTCTGTAAAAAATCAATAAAATATATTTTTAAAAAAGAGCCATGATGATAAAGGAACGTGTACAGAGTACCTTTAATAAGGAACTGTCTTAGAGCCCTTAAGGGGTCAGCCCGGCAGATATGGCCAGGCCCATGGCACTAGGAAGTACAGGGTGGGGCAAACGTAGGATTGCAGTTGTGAGTACACGAAATCAGAGTTTATTCTTGTATTTTTATTTATTTATTGTCTTCCATCTGAACAACTGTAAACCTACTTTTGCCACACCCTGTATACTCTGGGTACTGGCATGGACTTTGGAGTCAGACACCTGGCTGTATATTATGGTACTGGATCTCTCAGTGCTTCAGTTTCCTCTGTGAACATGTGGGATTGCCATTTTTTGTAGTTCAGATGTAGTCAAATGTCAAATATGAGCAAGTTCATATAGTTCAACCCAAAAATGCTGACCTTTGTAAGGATTGAAATGTTACAGTAAAGTGTTTAGTGTAAATGCTCTGGCACTCGTAAATGCTCCCCAAAAGGGAGGGAATTAAGGGCACTAATGGGATCTTGGCAAGTTCCAGAAGCTGCAAGTAATTCAGTAAGTGAGAAGCAGGGACCAGATGATGAAAGTGTCAATTCATCCTTAAGGCTTGGGGTTGCCCCTGAGAGTTGTAGTCAGTGGTTTCTTGATCAGATTTACGTTGGAGTGAGAAAGTACAGTGGACCCTGGTTTTTGGAATGTCTCCTACCTCAGTCCACTTCTCTACCTGACCCCCCTTTCATGCTGATACCTGTATGATGAGTCACGCATCTTTCCTGTGACAAAGGAGAGAACATGCAAATATGAGTCAGTTTACCACTGTTAAAAATCTCAGGATGTTATGCTGTGAATATTTTGTGTTTTTTTGCTTTTGTTGCTGCTTATACTTATTATAAAATTTCCGTTTTTTGATGTACATTTCCTTTCCTTTTTGTTAAATTTTCCTTTACATTTCATATCCTTTTTGTTTTTAAAGTATTCATAGATTAAACAGTACAATAGACATGTACTATATATGAGAAAGGTTAAAACGGAATCATTTGGGGGTCTGGAAGGGATTAATTAAATTTACATTATTTCTAATGGGGGAAAAATGATTCGGTTTTCAAACAGCCTTCCGGAACAAATGAAGTTCAGGAAATGAGGTTCCACTGTACATGAGAGTTCAGAGCTGAAGGAGCTCAGTGCAGGGCCATGAAAGGGGACACACTGAGTCAGGAGTGTGGCGGAGAAGCGATGGAATGTGGGCCTGCTTCTCTTTCTTTACTTCCTCTTCACTATTTGATCCCAGGCCTCCACCCCAAACGCTCCCTACTGCCCTATGTGACCTGCATTTCTTGTCCCTCTCCAGATAACAGCTCCCCAGTGGAACATGTGCGTGTGCTGGGCCTGCTACATGAAGAGCTTCATGGCCCAGGCCCTGTGGAAGCATTGAGCACCCTTGCTCAGATTGAAGTGACCTTGAGTGGTACAGGGGACCAGGCCTCAGCTCACATTCTCTATCGGAGGCCCCAACATCGTCCAACACATAAGGTCAGAAGAAACCTGGGAGGACCAGAGGTTGGGTTCGGACAGAGGGGAAGAACAAAAGACAAAATAAAAACTGATGTGATGAAGCACTTCTCTGTGCTTTCATCATTTTGTTATTTTCCTCGTTTAATCTTCACAGCTACCCTGTGAGATAGTTTTATTACCCCTGTTTTGTAGCCTGGGAAACTCCGATCCTGTGAGCTTAACCAATGAAAGATACTGCCTTCCAGGAAATGGAAATGGAGAAAAGACTGGGAGGGGTTACTAGTGGGGGAAGGAACAAGTCCATAAGGAGCAGCTTGAAGGAGGGGTGAGAGTTAGAGAGCAAGAGCTGAAAGCAATTGCATAGCTGATTGGGGCTGAAGGTATTAGGTCTTTAGTTCTCTCTGGTTTCTTCAGTAAGATGGGAAAAAAACTTTTAATACTCTCCTTTCTTTTCCCCAGATTCAATGGTTCACCATCCTGCCTGACTTCAGCCTGGATCTACAAGGGGGGTCTCCCCCAAAGTCCCAGCCCCACCCAGATCCTCACACACACCCGGTATCTAAGCGCGCCAGGGCCAGAACAAGAGAATGGAGTTGGGATCTGGCAAAAAGAATAAAAACTGCAGAGGTTTGGGGGTGGGGTCAGAGATTACAGGGATGGGGCATAGTGACAGCATCCTTTGTACTTACAGGTGGATCCCACTACTCACTTGACCTTTAACCTTCACCTGTCCAAGAAAGAGAAGGAAGCCAAAGATAGCCTGACCCTGCCCTTCCAGTTCAGCTCAGAAAAGTAAGGCTGAAGCCTATATCCCTGGGTCCTAAAGTATAGAGCCCACTATCTGGGCCCAAGAGGTGGGGTGACAACAGGTTATTGATTAACCTCAGACTTTATAAGGGTTGAAGTCCATCTCCAGAGCCAAGTCTGGGGAGTGGTTCTCTATCCACCCATACCCCAACAATGACAAAGCGCCTTTGTCGCCTTTTTCTCCATTACAGCCTTGGGTCCCAGCCCCACATCTGGGTCTAAGCTGAGCCAGAACAAGACCCTGGGGAAAGGGCCCTATCTCCAGGCAACAGTGCCAGGACAGGAAGCTAGATGGGGAGGGCAAAGGCAGGTTAATAAGGGCTTAGTAGATACCTGTTCTGTGCCCTGTGTGTGGGTGCATGAAGTAAGACTATGGCAGGATCCTTGCCCTCAAGCTACTAGGAGTATTATTAGGAGAGTGGTGTTGAGTATCTATTCCAGGACCAAATAGTGCTTCAGTATAACTAAACCAGGAGCTCAGAGAAAGGGACTTGGAACAAGAAAATACGGAGTACAAAGAAAGAGTCACAGTTACCAGGTGTAGGGTATTCAGATAGGACCCTTGTTACCCACCCTCACCAGCACCAATTCTTCTCTCTCAGACAGCAGGCTCTACTGTGCCGTGGTTTAGGCCAAGCTACCAGCCATATCTTCTATGAGCCAGACGCTTATGATGACCTGGACCAAGAGGACCCAGATGATGACCTCGATATTTGACTAGACTGAATTGGAGGGGGTGCGGAGACCTTGGGCCTGTACCCATTGTTCCAGTTGGCCTTACCTTGTTTCTGCCCCATCTTTGTTTCCTGTGTCTGGAGACCCTACCCTGTGACCCATGAGCCAGGGAGCAGTGTCCAGTCAGGACAAAAAGTGGGATGGGCCCTGGCCGGTTTGGCTCAGTGGACAGAGCATCAGCCTGCGGACTGAAGGGTCCTGGGTTCGGTTCTGGTCAAGGGCACGTACTTTGGTTTCAGGTTCCCCGGCCCTGGTCAGGGTGCATGCAGGAGGCAACCAATCGATGTGTCTCTCTCACATCGATGTTTCTGTCTGTCTCTCCCTCTCCCTTCCACTCTCTAAAAATCAATGTAAAAATATCCTTGGATGAGGATTAACAAAACAAAAAAGGATGGGGGCAGAGGGAAAGGTGAGAGACTAGGAAACCTATCACACACACACACACCTAATAAAATATTTTTTTATTAAAAAAGAAACTTTCTGGTAGCTATTTAAACAAGAGTTGGGAGTCGAAAGGACTGGAAGATGTCAATGGATTAAGGAAACCAAGTACCTGAGTCTTAAAGAGTCAGTAGTGTTGGGGCCTGAACAATGAACTGGTGGAACAGGGTGGCTTGGCACACCGTTAGACTCAATGGGGGGTTTGGGGGGATTTTGTTTGTTTTTTAGCTGAAACAGGTGTACTAAGGTTCCAGGCTCCCTGCAAGGATCTCGGTAGGAAAAAAGCAGAGGCCCTGAAGGGAAAGAAAGAAGCCTACTTTCCAAAACATACTTTTTATTACTGTACAAAAAGCACATCCGCCCCTCCTTTGTTCTCCCCCCAGCCCCCAGGGAACAACTGTACATGGTGTACAGGACTGCGTGACCCAGGGCTGCCGCTGCGCATCCTGCCCACAGGCTGAGCTCTGCCCCAGGTCCTTTCAAGTGTCTAGGTTGCCAGGCTGGGGCAACGGAGTCCCAGCTCACACGTACTCCTTGGCAGAGCTGGGCTTAGAGTAGGAGCGGGGCGCACCATACCTAGCTTTTCCCTCACTCCCAGGACAGGAGCAAGAGAGCAGTGCACCTCCCAGGAGGACCAGAGCAGACCCTGCCCAGCCGATGAAGATGGCAGGACCAAACTCGTACCTGTGGGGAGAGGGGACTGAGGTCAGAAACCCTGGCCTGTCTCTCCAGACCCCAGACCTGTCCCCTTGGGAGGCAAGACTCCCATACTTACTTAGTATTCATGGGGACCAAAGGGTTATAAAAGTCTGTGATAATCTTTTGGCCGTACCAGGAGCAAGCTATCAAAGCAGCCAGACCTAGAGAGACAAGGAGGATGTAGGTACTGTGAGACCCCCTCAAACCAGCACCCCGTCCGCCCTGACTCCTCAGAGCCCTCAGGCTACCTTGGACCTGTGACTCACCTGCCACGATGAAAATGATGCCTCCGGTCATGGCTATCCGGGCCTTTTTCACTTTGTCGTCTCCCCCACAGCGTGTGCACTTCATGCCCATCGTGGCCACGAACATGGCCATGAAGCCCAGCACGAGGGACACCACCATGAGCGCTCTGGTGGCCTGAAAGGCCGCTGCGAGGGAGGAGGGAGGCCTTTCATTACCGGGAGGCAGCAGCCTTCGGACCACCCCAGCCTTTGAGCCCGCGGCTGCCCAAGGCCGGGGCGGTTCTGGGTGGATCCCGGCTCCGGGGCCTCCAGCTCCGCCCCGCCCTGCCTCAGCTCTGCGACTCGCCCGGGGCGCCCGGGTTTCGATGAAACTGCCCTGGGCAGGGGGAAGGGGGAAGGGACCGCGGAGGCGGCCGCTGGAGGCTCCGCTCGGGCCGCAGACGACGGCCTCGGCCCGGGTCTGACCCCACTATCGAGGCCACGGGGTTTGCGGCTTCGCCTAATCGGTCGATAAGATTAGAGGCCGCAGGCGTCTGCCTCGGTCAGACCAGAGCGCACGGCTCCTCCACCGAACCCCGCGCCACCCTTTGTCCGAGAGAACAGGGCGGGCGTAGGAGAGGCCACTGCCACCTCGGCCTTACCGGGCAGGGCGAGCACCGAGTCGTACATTTTGCAGCTAATCATTCCCGTGCTCTGCGTCACGCAGTCCATCCACAGCCCCTTGTACATGGCCTGGGCTGTGATGATGTTGTCGCCCGCGTACGAGCTCATCTGCCATTGCGGGAGGGCGGTGCACACCACCAGGCCCACCCAGCCCAGCAAGGCCATGGCGAAGCCGAGCAGCTGCAGGCCCGAGTTGGCCATTCCGCCCTCACAAAGACGAGGGGCGCGGGCAGGAGCCTCGGCAGCAAAGGAAACTTCGAGGGGCGAGCCCACCAGACGGCTGGGGCTGCAGTTATAAGTCACCCAAAGCACAAAACAGTTTCTGGTCGAGTGACTGCGAAGTTTTTATCACCCGAGGCAAACACCGATCGCCCCTCCGGCGGTCGAGGGTCTCCGCAGAGGGAACAGGTTACGCTCCGAGGACTAGTGGCCGGCAAAGGCGATCCCCGGAGTCCAGGCCGTTCCCTCCGGTGCTGTCGGCGACGCTTCCCAAACAAAAGGTGGAGGCGCCGAAGGGGCGGCTCTGGGTGCTGAAGTCCCCGCTGGACCCTGGGCTGTCGGCCCGGGGCCGAGGTG